ACTACAGGTCATTGAAAAAAGAAATAGAGGAAGATATAAAAATGTGGAAGCACATACTTTGTTCATGGATTGGAAGAATTAACATCATTAAAATGTCTGTATTACCCAAAACAATCTATAGATTCAATGCAATCCCCATCAAAATACCAACAACATACGTCACAGAACTAGAACAAATACTTCAAAAGTTCATATGAAACCAAAAAAGATGTCAAATAGCTACAGCAATCTTGAAAAAGAACAAAGTTGGAGGGATCACATTACCAGATTTCAGGTCATACTACAAAGCCACTCTAATTAAAACAGTCTGGTACTGGCACAAGAATAGGCATATAGACCAGTGAAACAAAACAGAGAACCAGAAATGGACCGAAGGCAATATGCTCAATTAATATTTGACAAAGGTGGCAAGAGCATACAGTGGAGTAAAGACAGCCTCTTTAATAAATGGTGTTGGGAAAATTGGTCAGCTACATGCAAAAAAATGAAACTATCAACTTACACCATACACAAGAATAAACTCAAAATGGATAAAGGACTTAAATGTGACTCATGAATCCATAAAAAACCTAGAAGAAAATGTAGGCAAGAAAATTTGAGACATCATATGCAGCAGAATTTTCACTGATACACCACCTAAGGCAACAGAAATAAAGGAGAAAATGAACACATGGGACTACATCAAACTTAAATGCTTCTGCACAGCAAAAGATACAATCATCAAAATGGAAAGGCAACCCACTGTATGGGAAAGCATAATTGCCAATGATATATCAGATAAGGGGTTAATTTCCAATATATAGAGAGTGCTCATACAACTCAACAAAAGGAAGAGAAAGAACCCAATTAAAAAATGGGCAGAGGAGGTGAATAGACATCTCTCCAAACAGGACATACAAATGACCAAGGGACATATGAAGAAATGCTCAACATCACTAATCATCAGAGAGATGCAAATTAAAACAACATTGAGGTATCACCTCACACCTGTCAGAATGGTCGCCATCAACAAATCATCAAACAACAAGTGTTGGTGAGGGTGTGGAGAAAAGGGGACCCTAATACACTGCTGGTGGGAATGCAGACTGGTGCAGCCACTGTGGAAAACAATATGGTGTTACCTCAAAAAATTAAAAATTGAATTGCCATTTGACCCAGTGTTCTCACTTCTAGGAATATACCCTAAGAAGCCTGAAACACCAATCACAAAGAATATATGTACCCCCATGTTCATAGCAGCACTATTTGCAATAGCTAAGATCTGGAAACAGCCCAAATGTCCATCAGTAGACGAATGGATAGCAAAGCAGTGGTACATATACACAATGGAGTACTATGCAGCGGTAAGAAAGAAAGATCTCTCATCCTTTGAGACACATGGAGGGACCTGGAAGTCTTATTCTAAGTGAAACAAGCCAAACAGAGAAAGACAAGTCTCATATAATCTCACTTTTTTGTGGAATATAATGAACATAACAGTCTGAGGAATGGGGTAGTCCCAGAGATGTGGAAGTGGGGTACAGACTGACAATCCCCAGAAGAGGGGGGTGGGGGAGAGATAAACCACAGAACTTAAATGCATGTGTACATGAACAATGGACATGGACAACAAAGCTGGGGGCAGGGCGGGGAGGGCAGGAGATGGGAATAGTGTGTGTGGGGGGGAACATCTGTAACAAAAATAAATTAATTTAAAAAAAATCAATAGATCCAGGGACTTGAATATACTGAGGATTTTAATATATTTCCTGTCTGGGTTTCTCTCTATCTGTTGGCTTCATTCTTCCCTCTTCTTTTCTCTACGTGAAAGAATTAAACATGGCTTTAGACATCTTTCTACCACTAAAAGGCACAGCCCTGTTGGTGTGCAGCCCATACATTCCCAAGGAAAGGATTCACTGGTTTAGTTGCATCAGGCATCCATTTCTGGACCAATCACCATGGCCAGGGCAGGCTGAGAAATGTGACTGGTTCAACTTAGGTGGAGAGCTCACTTACAGGACCAACTACGTGTGGCCAGAGGCTCCTGGTATGAATGAGCACTGCAGAAGTCACTCAGTTTCGAGGAGAAGGAGAGAGAGTCATGGGCAGACTGTCCCATACACTTCCTCTGCACCCTAAATGTTTAGGGGATCTTCCATCTACTTTGAAATTATTCTCTGTTCTCTGTAAATAATGACCAAGGTTCACTTTAACTGCCTACTTCACTAAGAAAGCCTCGTTCTAAGTTTTTAATAATATCCTACTTGGTATCAGAGTATCCGGTGGTGGGGACAGGAGAGAGAGTCCTTTGATCTACTGTTCGGAAATGAGCAACTTGGATCACTATGTAACTGTTGTTCATCCTTGGTCTTTTAAAAATTAAAATGAGCTTACACTAGTTTTAGAAATTATCATGTTAAGCCTCAAAGTAAACAAAACAACTAAAATAGAGGTGCCATAATCTTGTTTTTGGTGTGTGTGTGTGTGTGATTTTCTTTAAGTGGGATGAATGCTTAGTTTGGGATGTAATAGTTACCTAAAGACAGGGAATGGACCAAATGACCTCCATTTTCTAGATAATTCACTGGGAAGATACTGAGTTTGCAGAAATAAATTCTAAAGCCTTATTGATGTTCATTCCCATGTTAAGCAGGGTTTTCAAACATACACTACCTTTGGCCAATTCCATAACTGTACACTATTTTTAAACACCAGAAAGACACTATTCTAAACGTTGAAGGTATCCAAAACCCAGATACAAACATTTCAATAAAACTGCTTGAGCACAAGTGGGGTTTGACATGCTTCTTGGAATCTCTCTTCAGTTTCTCTTCTAGTAGAATTCCTTTCCATGTGTCCAAGTCCTGAGATACTTCTTTCCATAAAGAGAAAGTCTGGATGCCAAGCTCTGCTCTCTGCCCATCCTCCCCACCATCTCCCGCAGCTCCTACCCTCATGGGCACACATGCCGTCACTACCATAGCAATCAGTAAGATCTGTTATTTAAAATTTTGGTATTTTGTTCTTCATAGAGGTTTTCTATATTAATTATAATTTTAAAAATATTGTAATGAAATATTACATATTTTTATTAATGCATTTGGTCTCCCACTTTTTGTTGTGGTGGTAGTTAATCCTCACCCAAGGATACTTTTCCGTTGATTTTTAGATAGAGTGGAAGGGAAGGAGGGAGAGAGAGAGAGAGAAACATTGATGTGAGAGAGACACATGGATTGGCTGCCTCCTGCATGACCCTAACCAGGGCCAGGGATTGAACCTGCAACCCAGATACATGCCCTTGACCAGGAATCGTACCTGTGACCCGTCAGTCTGAGGGTCAGTGCTTGAACTGCTGTGTCAAATTGGCCAGGGCTGGTCCCTCACTTTTATTTTATTTTTAAATATGTTTTTATTGATTTTTTTTAGAGAGAGAGGAAGGGAGAGATAGAGACATTGATGTGAGAGAGATACATCCATCAGCTGCCTCTAGCATGCCCCCTACTGGGGATGGAGCCCACAACCTGGGCATGTGCCTTGACTGGGAATGAAACTGGGACCTCTCAGTCCATGGGACGATGCTCAATCCCCTGAGACACACCAGCCAGGGTGGTCCCCCACTTTTAAATTTTGCACCTGAGTTGAGTGTCTCACCCTTGTCCCAACTCTGATATTTAGACAGACTTGAGTTAAAGGTCCAGTGTAGCCTCTTAACAGTTCCTCAGTCTGGATTTACCCTCTAAAATAAGGGTGATAACTGAAAAGCCCATATAGGGTAGTTTTGAGAATTAAATGACATAGTAGATGTAAAACACTTAGTATGCGTGACACACAGTCAGCAATCCATACATACTGTTCGCATTACTATTGTTAACAATGACACCAATGGCAGGGATAACAATCATGCTTAGGCAAATAGTCATCAACAGTAAGATACAACCCCAAGCCTGGAAAACTCCAATATACAGGGAGATTCAGACATGTAAACGACGCATCGCCATTCAGTGAGCTGTTATAACTGAGATTCCTCTGTAGCATGAAGAAAGCACAAACATGGAGAGTGCGCACTGCTAAGCTCGTGGAGAAGGATTTCAAGCCAAGTGCTGCAGGCTGAGCCACGGGAGAAGAAAGGTCATTCCAGGTTAAAGCACCAGTAGGTACAAAGGCATAAGGCTGGGAAAGGTCTGGAATATTCTGAGGGAGACCATCTCTGTAGCTGAAATGGGGAGTTCTGGTGGGAAGGATGTGGAAGGTGATGTTGATAAGAAAGGACATGGTCTATGAATTAAGGGCCTTGGCTATCATTCTGAACAGGTAAGGTTTTGTTTTGAGGACAATCAGGAATTACTGAAGGTATTTTGAGGCTCTGTTTTGAGATGTTCATATATAGGTTTTAGAATGGCAACTGCATGAAGAATGGGCAGGAGGGGGAGAGACTGGAGTCAAGGCTACCCACCAGCAGGCTAATCTGAGAGTCAGGAGTAGAAGGTGAGGGTCTGACTCCAAGCACTAGCAGTGGTGCTGGAAAGCAGTAAGAGATCAGAGCCACATTTAGGAGGAGGAGCCAATGAACTGAGTGTGGAGTGTGCGAAGAGGAAGGAGAAGATGAGAATGTTGGGAGATTTCTTCTACAGTAACAAGATGGAGAACAGTGAGGAAGAGTACATGTAGGTATATGTGTGTGGTCAGAGGAAGAAGATAAGGAGTCAGAGTTTGAACTTTATTCCATTTGAAATGCCAGGGACTGTTCAAGTGGAAATTCTCAATAGCCAGTGGAAACATCAGTCTGGGACTCAGAAGAAAGGTGAGGCTGGGTGCGGGTATGACTGAAGCATGGGAAACACACATGCTACGTCTGGGAGAGCTGCCCGGAGACAGGATCAGAGCCCTGATCACAGTGATTGTCCTCATCTTTCCTCATCTCTGATTTTCAGTTTTATCTCTTGACGGCCCTTGATAAGCTGTGTCTTCCTGTGTGGTACTTTGGCCTGGTTCCCAGCTAACGCCCCCAGTTTCCTTACCCTGGCTATTTGGTCTGCCATTTGGAGTCGTCCATCCAGCTCTCGTCGGATCTGTGCTGCCTGCTCATCCGGATTGTCCAGCTGCGAGAAACACAAACATGGAGACTTTCAGCCTGAGTCACAAAAGCCAATAAACTCACGACTTCTCATCTCACACCCCCACCCTGTGCCCCATGGACATGTTTCACTAAAAGTAAAAATTCTTGTAACAGACAAATCCAGTTTGAATGAAATCCCATGTTAAATTCTTTCAGGCAGGGTGTGAAGTGCTTGGCAGTGGCAAAGGAAGGGATCTGAATGAGCTCGTGCAAGAATCTCGCGAAGTGCTAGGCAGCAGTGTTTCTAACGAAGCCCCATGCAGCACCTCTATTTTGGTCCAATGAAGAAAGTGCTTTCACAGCAGATATATAAGGAAGGAGATGGTAATGTAACTAGTTATAATGCAGGGAGCAGAGTGTGCATCCATAGTGCCTACATGGCACATATTCTGCTGCTCTCCCACCCCTGGCCCATGAAAGATTAATCGGTCATTGCTCTCCTCACTGCGCCTTCTCAACCAGCACTCCAGAAGCCACTGTCACTCAGCGGGTATTGCCAAGCCGAAATCTAGCCATGTTTTCCATGATTGTTAGGGCTATTAGGGTATGAGAATCAGAACACCCATGCAGAAATAAATCCAGACCATTCCCTAATATCTCTGCTTTCAGTTTTCCCGTCTGTAGAGAGAAGAGGGTGGCTCTGCAATCTCTCTCTTTTTCATGTCTTCCTATGAATCTATGAAAGAGATTGGCAACCGTCTCTGTGCATGGCGTATAATTAATTTTGTAGGCTTTGAGGGCCATAAATAGATGTCTGTTGCAATGACTCAACTTTCCTAATGAAGTGTGAAAACAGTCATAGGCAATATGTAAATAAGTGAGCACTGCTGTGTTCCAATAAAATTTTATGTACAGCAGGTGGTGGGCCATAGCTGCAGCTCCCAGCCCAGTGAGCTGAAGTCCTCTCTTTATTTCCAAGCAAGCCTAGTGTTATCCTTCAAACTGTAATTGAGCTTTTGTTCAGTAATTTATGATTTATTTTAATCACAGTGAAGGTTAATAAGTAGGGAAGAATAGCATTCAAACAGGATGGGCTTTATCCTTCTTTTTAGTATGTATTAAATCACAACAAGAAGTAGCATAAGAAGTCTGTGAGTTTTCTAAGTCCTGTCTTTAAAAGCCACTTTTATTCATAAATTTGAAAATGATGAAATTTTTATTAAAAATTTTGAAATAAAAACCCAGCTTCATGTTAAAAATAAATCTCATCTATGCTATAAAATGGTTTGCAAAGAAGTTATTTGTACTAAGATGTAAATAAGAACACTAGAAAACATATGGTCATAACTTTGAAGCCTCATGACTAGTTTTTGTTTTATGAAATGCCTTCGAATCCATCTGGCTTTATGCTGTGCATTTTTTATCACCCTGTTCAATTTAGGAGTTGCCTTATCTTCTCTTTTCCACAGTTTTCAGGAGCAGGACTTTTTCCTAGGCCACAAACATTGCAGTCCTTGGCAATATATTCTATGGTAGCATTTTCCAAAGGGTGTTCTACTGAATATCGACGTTATCATATAGTCCAAAAGAAAGGGTTCCAGAGGAGCTCCAGAGAAATGGTCAAATAAGTTTGGGAAAATTCTATGTTGAAATGGATAAAGTATTTGAGAAGTTCTGCAATAAGAATATCTGTGAGACTTTGACCAACTCAACATTTTTAAACTTAAATTTAAATTTTGTGTTTTTTTGCATAATGTCCAAAGAACACGAGCTGGAAATCTGTTCTGAATAAAGAGAACCTCCTAAAAACAGTCAAATCGATGACCAGTGATCCATTGATCACTGCTTGCCAGTAGAAGCATGTGGGAAACATGGCATCCTCAATTTTGTTTATAAGCACCAATAAGCCATTTTTATTTGATTCCCTTGGAAACCCAACATTTCTTCAGATCCAGCTGCAAACCCATTGGGAACATTCAGAAATGTCTTGTTCAAAAATACATATGCAAATGAAACATCTGAATACTTCACCAAGAAGCAGAACATTGACTTGGTTAGGGGCTAAAGTTGGGAATTTTGTCAGAAGATATGGTGATAACAGAGACTAAAACTGAAAAGGAACTAGAAAACAACAACAACAAACAAAGCCCAAAGTGAGTACAAGGAAGGAAATAATAAAGATCAAAGCAGAAATAAATGAAATAGAGTCTAAAAAACAATACAAAAGATCAATGAAACCATGAGCTGTTTCTTCGAAAAGATAAACAGAATTGACAAACCTTTAACCAGACTCATCAAGAAAGAAAGAGAGAGGACCCAATAACTAAAAACAGAAATAAAAGAGAAGTAACGACTGACACCAAAGAAATACAAATGATTATAAGATAATACTATGAACAACTACATGCCAACAAATTTGACAATCTGGAAATAATGGATAAATTCCTAGAAACATACAATCTTCCAAAACTGAATCAGGATGAATCAGAGAATTTGAATAGACAGATTACAACTAGTAAGATTTAAGCAGTAACAAACAAACAAAAACTTCCAACAAATGAAAGTTCTGGACTGGATGGCTTCACAGGTGAATTGTACCAAACATTCAAAGAAGAACTAACACCTATCCTTCTCAAACTATTCCAATAAATTCAAAAGAAGGAAAAAATCCCAACCTAATTTTACAAAGTCATCATTATTCTAATTTCAAAACCAGATAAAGACACTACAAAGAAAGAAAATTACAGGCCAATATCCTTGATAAACATATATGCTAAAATCTTCAACAAAACATTAGCAAACTGGATCCAGCAACATCTTAAAAAGATCATACACCATGATAAACTGGGATTTATTCTGGGGATGCAAGGTTGTTATAATATCTACAAATCAATAAACGTGATACACCACATAAACAAAACAAAGGATAAAATTCACATGATCATATCGATAGATGCAGAAAAAGCATTTGATAAAATCCAGCACCCGTTTATGATAAAAAACTCTCAGTAAAGTGGCAATAGAGGAAACATACCTCAAGTAATAAAGGCCATACATGACAAACCCATAGCCAACATCATACTCAATGGGCAAAAAATAAGCATTTCCCTTAAGATCAGGAATAAGACATGGATGTCCACTTTCACCACTCTTGTTCATCATAATACTGGAAATCCTAGCCACAGCAATCAGACAAAAAGAAAAAAGAAAAGGCATCCAAATTGAAAAGAAGAAAGTAAAACTGTTGTTATTCATAGATGACATGATATTGTAAATAAGAACCCTAAAGACTCCACCAAAAAGCTACTAGATCTAGTAAATGAATACACCAAAGTAGCAGGATACAAAATTAATATTCAGAAATCAGTGGCATTTTTATACACCAATAATTAACTATCAGAAAGAGAAATTAAGAAAACAATTGCATTTATTATTGCAACAAAAATAGATAAGGTACCTAGGAATAAATTTAACCAAGCAGGTAAAATATCTGTACTTGAAAAACTACAGAACTTTGAAGAAATACACTGAGGAAGATACAAGTAAGTGGAAGCATATACTATATTAATATATTGGAAGGATTAATATCACTAAAATGTCCATACTACCCAAAACAATCTATAGGTTCAATGCAATTTCTATTAAAATACCAATGACATATTCCACAGATCTAGAAAAAATATTCTAAAATTTATATGGAACCCCAAACGATCCTGAACAGCCTCAGCAATCATGAGAAAGAAGAACAAGGTCTGAAGTATCACAACAGGTAAACTATACTTCAGGGCCATTGTAATCAAAATAGCCTGGTACTGGCATAAGATCAGGCATATAGATCAATACAATAGATCAGAGAGTCCAGGAATCAACCCACATCTGTATGGTCAATTAGTATTAGACAAAGGAGGCCAAAGCATACAATGGAGTAAAAACAGTCTCCTCAATAAATGGTGTTGGGAAAATTGAATAGGTACATGCAAAACACAAACAAAAAAAACAAAACATAAACAAACAAAAAACTAGACTACCAATTTATATCATACACAAGAATAAACTCAAAAAGATTAAATTACTTAAATGTAAGTCGCAATACCATAAATATCCTAGAAGAAAACATAAGCAGTAACATTTCAAACATTTCTCATAGCAACACTTTTGCCAATATGTCTTTTAGGGCAAGGGAAACAAAGAAAAAAGTAAACAAATGTGACTACATCAAACTAAAAAAACTGCACAGCATAAGAAAATGAAATGAAATCAACAAAATGAAAAGGGAACTCACTGTATGGGAGAACATATTTGCCAAAGATACATCTGATAAGGGATTAATTTCCAAAATGTATAAAGAACTTATACAATGCAACACTGGAAAGACAAACAACCCAATTAAAAAATGGGCAAAGGACCTGAACAGACACTTCTCCAAAGAAGACATGCAGATGACCAATCAACATATGAAAAAAAAAAATGCTCAGTGTCACTAATTATCAGAGAGATGCAAACTAAAACTACAGTGAGATATTACCTCACACCTGCCAGATGGTTACCATCGATAAATCAACAAACAAGTGTTGGTGAGGATGTAGAGAAAAGGGAACCCCAGTGCACTGCTGGTCCAGCCAGTGTGGAAAACAGTATGGAGTTCCCTCAAAAAAAATTAAAAATGGAACTGCCTTTTCATCCAGTGATTCCACTTCTGGGAATATCTCCTAAGAATTCTGAAACACCAATTTGAAAGAATATTTGCACCCCTATATTCATAGCAGTGTTATTTACAATAGCCAAGATCTGGAAACAGCCCAAGTGTCCATCAGTAGATGAGTAGATGAATGGATAAAAAAGATGTGGTGCGTTTACACAATGGAACACTATGTGGTCATAAAAAAAAGGAAATCTTGCCTTTGCAACAGCCTGTTGGACCTGGAGATTATTATGCTAAGTGAAATAAGCCAGTCAGAGAAAAGCAAATACTGTATGATCACACTTACATATGGAATCTAATGAATCAAATAAACTAACAAACTAAAAAAACCAGAGGCATGG